AAGAAATACTATTTTCAGCGACGGTATAAATTAAAATTAACCTCATTAGTTGATGTACTTGTGAAAGACATGTTTAGATATTATTGAACTGACGCGGGGCAAATTCGTCAATTCGTTGCTGCTCCACGATATATACATTTGTGAATAATATGCATAAACCGTAGAAACCTACATAAATAATTTCATTTTATTATCGCTTTTGCTGTCTGATGTGTTGACGGCCTTGTTTAAACATTATGGGATTTGCGAGACATCGCAGGTATAAAATGTTCACAAACGATGAGATCTTGTGCGACTCGCGTAAAGCTTTCTTCGTTGACACATCCGATCTGAAAACCATTCAGGATTATTTTATGTCAATCACGAGTTCAGGATCTTCCTCGTGAGTGACATCACGAACCGTTCAAAGGCCAACATTTTCTGATCGCTTTCTTGAAGAGTTTGAGTACTTCTTTTATTGTCTTGCTGCTAGCGTACATTTATATGGTCTTAGATCGAATTATTACTTAGATGCTCTTGTCGGGAGAGCAATCATGTATACAAGTTTGAAAACTTGTACCTCAATGTTGTGCTACAAAAACGGACTCACTCGTTTGATTTTTTTCCTTACTTTTCGGTATTATTTAACCCGAAATAACCTACTGAGACATAGAGCAGCCTACAACGCTCATATAAGCTTATTTGTCTCGGTTAAATTTTTGTCTAACTGCAATTTCCAGTTTTTGTTTCAGCTTCAAATTTCACTTTTAATTGTTTGCGTTAAAATCGCCACTAAAAATGTGATTCACATAAGTGCAAATAATCGGGTTAGGATTACTGAAATCAGTATTCGTTATTAATGATGTGCACTATTATTATTTAAAAAACACCCAAATGAAAGTTTTGACGAATCTTAATCATTTGATGCCTTTGAATATTGGATGTTGGAACTGGCGGTTCTTAAAATTGTGATTTAACAGTTACTTGTTAATTATTGTACTCCTGAGGTATTTATAACATATTCTTATAGAATAACTACCCAATTTTCGTATAAATCTTGCGAGCGATTTTGCGATTTCTCAATAAATCAAGAGTAGACGGAAGCAAATGTGCCTCATCGTCATTATTAAATTTGAGGTTTTGAGCAAGAGTTCTTCATTGAGGGATGTGAACTCATAGTCCTTATAAAAAATGAACTCTTGATAAAGAATTCTTCATTAGGAGATGTGAGGCGAGTTACTCTAGTGACCACGACATGACAGAGACGCTCTGTCCCAGCGTATCTTCGATGGTAGAGGCGACGCAGGCGCCCGCGGGTGTCGGGGGCAGCCGGCGCCGAAGAGAAGCACGTTTCCGTAGCTTTTCCGTTGTCGATGCCCTAAACAATTTGCGGTCCGCGTCCATCTATTCCTCCGCGAACGGACCAAGAGCCAACGAGATAAAAGTTGGATCGGAAATGAAAGGTGACACCTACCGGGTGAAGTATGCGCGAAAAACATCCTTGTCATCGACGTTCAAGCTTTCGCTTAGAGAAGACACAATCTCCAGTGTAAAATCCGAAACCAAACCCTCCATTATATCCAGCATAAATACGGTGTGTGGTCGTTGACATAAAAATTGCCATTAGTAATAAATTATATAACATCAAATTATTAACAATCGTTAATTGTTGTGCATAATAGTATATATATTATTTAGTAACGTATGCAGGTTGAGAAGATTATTTTTAATGATGTTCTGAAGCGAATGGTGTCAAATTTTATTTGACTATCAACTTTATCGATCGGTTCATTTAAATTTAAAGTCGTGCACATCCTAACTCCATTCCACAAATCACGCAAAGACATTTCTTTACTTGAAATTATTTGCAATAAATGTGGAACTTATTCATGAACAATTTATTTGTAACGAAACTAAGAAAATATAATTAGGGAATGCAAAACCACGGTATGCAACATTTCGCTTTTTTAAATTTGTTCTGGGTACTCGCTTTCTGCCAACAAGTCATCAGTTTCAGTAATGTCGACCTAGTCAACGTTTCTCTTTTACATTCGAATATTTTTCAAACGTCTTTTACGTCACGGGATAAAGCCGCAAAAAACCGTCAAATTTTTCGTATAAGAATTATTTCATTTGACAATGTGCAGAAAACTCGTCGATATTTGGTATGTATTAGCTCCTGGAACTGCAGGGTTGAAGATAATGACAACATTCATTCTTTCCTCGGTTTGACTCAGCGGTGATTAATTTTGTAAACGCCCTAGACATCGTTAATATTTTAATAATAATAATATATTAATTAAGATTTAACTGTCTTTTCTTGACATGAGTCGAATTGGTTGAATTACCTTTTAAATTTCCAGAGCGAATTCTTCTCACCTTACTTTCAAATATCAGTGTGGCCGGTGATCGCATTTCATATCCTAGAGGAGCAGCTGTATTTCCCTAGTGGATAAATTTCATTTCTCTAGTAGAGCATTTTTATTTCACAGGAGAGCAACTTCATTTACTAGATTAGCAGTTGTTATTCTAGGGGGGAGTGGGCAGTTGCATTTCCTAGTGAAGCAGTTGCATTTCCTAGGGAAGCAGTTGTATTTCCCAGGGAAGCAGTTGTATTTCCCAAGGGAGCAGTTACATTTCCTAGTGAAGCAGTTGCATTTCCTAGGGGAGCAGTTGTATTTCCCAGGGAAGCAGTTGTATTTCCCAAGGGAACAATTACATTTCCTAGTGAAGCAGTTACATTTCCTAGTGAAGCAGTTGCATTTCCTAGGGGAGCAGATGTATTTCCCAGGGGAGCAGTTGTATTTCCTAGTGAAGCTGTTGTATTTCCTAGTGAAGCTGTTGCATTTCCTAGTGAAGCAGTTGTATTTCCTAGTGAAGCAGTTGTATTTCCTAGTGAAGCAGTTGTATTTCCTAGTGAAGCAGTTGAGAAGCAGTTGTATTTCCTAGTGAAGCTGTTGTATTTCCTAGTGAAGCAGTTGTATTTCCTAGGGGAGCAGTTGCATTTCCTAGGGAAGCAGTTGTATTTCCTAGTGAAGCAGTTGCATTTCCTAGTGAAGCAGTTGCGTTCTCGACTTCGTCGTCGTGTTGCCTGCTTGTCGCCTCCAGGGATTGAGTCGGAATGTCCGCTTCCGGAATTTCGTTGCGTCTCCTGATGTCCGAGCTCCACAACAGTGGAATAATTTCTCTGTGTAGTTGATTCGAGTGAAGTGCCTGATGAATTGCAAATATCAACGTTATTACAACAATGTACTGGAAAGATATTGATATTTTCAGAGTAAAACTCGGTGTTGCTAGCCATCTCTGTTACCTTTTTCACTTATTAGTTGTAATTATATTTGCATTCAATTCTCTGTATTCACGTATGTCCAAGGAAACGGGGCCGTGCGCAAATTTCTTAGCGTTACTTTGCATCAGGATTCTTTATCGCATCATTATATAATTCGTACACAGATATTATACTAAAATAATAAAATATTATAATAATCGTCATAATAAATATATAATCATATATAATCGTCATATAATAATCGTAATAATAAATTATAAATAGTCTCGGAATATTTTAATTTTGATCATTATATGAATTAATTATCTATTGGATACTTAGTAATTTCGTATCGTATGAAAAATACCTTCAAAAAATCAATTATTTCAAAGCTTTCATAATCAGCTCCATCTCTAATTGTTTGGCTGTTGATCAAACATTTCTTCAGTACCACCTTATTTTATCACATTTTTATCAAAGCTTTTGCTGAGCGCTGTTAAATAAACATATCAAAACTTTTTTGCTGTACTTAGAGGTGGTACGAGCTTTCGACGGTCTAGATTGCGTTTTGATACCTTTTTCTTAGCCAACTCTCGACGATTTTTATCTTTCTCAAAAACATCAACCATTACGACCTGAAGAAGAAATCTTGCTTCAGATCCTGGTCGCTTGGGCCTCTGCCAATTGAGCAAGAAACTGCATCCTGTCCTGCTTTCTTTTTATTGCTACTCCATCGATCTTCTTTTCCTTGCACTGACTCCTCTCTCTTGATAACTAGGGAATTTTTAAAGTTGCTCTAATTTTTTCTTCAACCTGCATAACATAAAGATAAATAGTACCTACCATCAATTCCATATATATATATTCCATAAATAGGAATAAATAACCACTATATATAAAACTAACCACTATATTCCATAAATAGTACCATAACCACTATATTTTATATTGTTTATTATGTTTCAAATTTAATCCGAAATCGCATTCCACTTAAATTATGGAGCCGAGCTCCGCGAGAGGGCGTGAATGAGGTTTACTTTTAGCCGTTTGGCTGCTTTAAGCTGTGACTTACTAGTTCTCAGCAAATGAGTATCTTAGGTTGTAAATTTATCCTAACCTTAATTTGACAAGGTAATTGCCCAGCCAAATCCGATTAACTTTCGATATTTTCTCAGATAGTAAAATTTGAATCTCCTGAAATCTAATTTCGAGCTTGGCACGTGATAGGCCGTCGACTGTCTGCATGCAATTTTCAAGACGTCTCTCTACAGTCATTTAATCCACGCGTGTATCCGTCTGTATGGATCCTGATAGCCACTCATATAAAGTCAATTTTTCCATGTGTACGATTCTCTCAGCCACGGTTTCCTATCCGTAAACTCTGAATTCTGGCAACTTTCCAGAACCTGCTAAATTAAATAGACTTCGATGCCTTCTAAGTCGCCCCTTTTACCCGAGAGAAAATTTCTGGCAACTCTTCTCGCTCCGTACTTCAGCTGCCCCTCTAGAAGTTATTTTCTGCAGGATTTTTTCTCATTAGATCCTGAACAATTAACTTGGAAGATCTGCCTTTCTGCTAGATTACTCGGTTTTCCAAGTGCTTTTACAATATTTTGGTAGTTGATTAATAAAATCTCGTTACTGCTCGATTTTCCAGTGCATTTTGGTAGGTGATTAATAAAATCTCACTACTACCCATGCCTGAACCCCTGCTAGACAGTTAATCTGATCATTGGATGCGCTTGCATTTCAGGTGCTGTCACTGGGCGCGGATGTCATCCCAGAGTACAAGCTGCAGTCTCCAGACATCCACAAGTGCACAATCCTGCACTACTCGCCCTTCAAAGCTGTGTGGGACTGGATTATCCTCATCCTCGTCATCTATACGGCCATCTTCACGCCCTACGTCGCTGCCTTCCTCTTAAGTGAAATCAAAAGCCCAAACGAACAACCCTTCACCGACCCGCTTTGGGTCATCGAGTTATTAGGTGGGTCATTCCGTCTACACTTTGTACTCGTGTAATCTAAAATGTTACCGTAAAGCTAGGTCTTCGCTTTGATGTTTGAGGTTGTTATGCCTGTATTAATCACTTTTGTTTACGTTTATTGATTATCATTGGGATTATTATCGCGTAAAGGTTAAATTCACCTAATCTCGTTACAGATCATAATTTCTTCATTATTTTCCCGAATACAGTTACTAAGATTTCTTAACTGTATTCTGTGTTTCTCATGTATCAGGTCAAATTATTGGGTTAAAAGGTGAGTGTTGATACGTTCTTGATGAAACTCCGGGTCCTTGAATAATTTCGCCTTTTGTTCCGCATCAGATTTAATTATAATTTTTTAGTGCATCAATTCTCAATTACATCAGTTCATTTTCCTATAATTTCAATTTCATTTTGTGGCGACTTATTCCAACTATTTCGAAATATCTACATATATTCTTGGTCCTTAGCTACCGGTTGAAATAAAGCCACTGAGTTTTCAACTATTTATAACCATAACATAATTATGCAAGGTCGATAGGCAGCCGTAATATGGCATAAAATAAAAATTATTAAAATGAAATGTGCAATCAAGATTTGGCATAGATGAGAGTAAAGCGCAGCGCCCATCCATGCTGACCATATTTATAGATCTCGCATGCTATGTGTGAATTTGATGAAAGATGTAATTAATTTCAGAGTTTTTTCAACTACATAAAGTGTGCATTTTTAAAAGAATTTTATATAGTTCGTAAATTAATTTGTTGCCTTTTTTAGCGACTGTAAGGATCATTCAATTAATTGACGTTGTCATATCGTCTATCGCTCAAAACTTGAATCAAGCTTTGGTTTTCATTTGCAATTACTTTGTTTTATGACCGAACTTCTTGCTTGCAGATTTTCGACGGTCCGATGCCTTTACGAGTGTCTTATTCAATCAAAGTACAATAAACTGCTAACTAGTTAGCATGGCTTTAGTTTCTTGATTTGTTTTACTTTGTATGAAAATATCGTGTATGAACTTGGTTCACTATTCCTGTTCGCAACAATCTAGTTTCATGGGTTCACAATCTTTTTTCATACTTTGTATAAAAATATCGTGTATGAACTTGGTTCACTATTCCGGTTCGCAACAATCTAGTTTCATGGGTTCACAATCTTTTTTCAACAACAATCTAGTTTCATGGGTTCCCTCGATGCTCGTGCGTGCTGCAGTGCCATCATTTTCGTCTAATCATGTGAGCTTTCCGGCTTGGATTTATTGAAGTGCTGCTCCCGATTTTGGGCTGCCAGACAAGCGGCAGTCTGGCTCCGAACAGTCGCCAGCCACGACTGTTAAACTTTGGTTACAATCCTCTCCTTGCTTCTGCGACTTTATATAAATATCTATCAAAACTTTTTACATTCTGGAATTAAAAATGAAGCATATCGTTTCAATAAAATTGTATATTGTACGAGGTAAAACGGCAGGGGTCCGCTCTGCCGTTTAACAAAAATATTCTAACGGTTATCGTTGACAGCTGTGCAGGGTACAGTTAAGGCAAATGATGTGCAGCACACAGTCGTTAGCTAAAACTTGAAAATTTGAATAAATAGTCAAATGAATAATAATGAGCCAAATAAATGTTCGCTTCGTTCCGAAAATTATAAATCAGATTGTCGGGATCTCGTGTGATGCCCCAAATTACATAGTTTTTTAAATTCGGGCATAACCTAATGACATGCATATTTCATCCCATTTATTCGATATCAGTATTGAAGAAAATGTGGCATCAAAATAAATAAGAGTTAAATTTTCAGTATGGTAAAAATTTGCAAAATGGAGTAAAGAATTATTCTCAATCTATTACCCAATATTTGTGCATTTGTGATTTACTGAGTATCGTGACATACAGTGGGTATCGTAGTCACAGAAGACATATATAGTCACTTGGTTCTCAGCCTAGACATAAATTCTATTTGGTGTGAAGTGTACAATTCTTTATGCTAGATAAAGCCTCTGTCATCGCTCTGTATTAACATACATTTTATGTGGTGGTGTGCTGTGAACATTATTTCCAGGGTATACATAGCCTTTGGCTTTCCTCCGTATTTTTATTGTGGTGTACAGTGGACATCATGTTCATGGTGGATATAGCCTTTGGTATAATTTGCTGTATTAACAAATATGTTGTATGGTAGTGTGCAGTGGACATTATTTTCATGGTGCACATAACCTTCGGCATCATCTCCGCATTAATAAATGTTATATTGTGTTGTACAGTGGACATCATGTTCATGGTGGACATAACCTTCGGCATCATCTCCGCATTAATAAATGTTATATTGTGTTGAACAGTGAACATCATGTTCGTGGTGCACATAACCTTTGGCATCATCTCCGCATTAATAAATGTTTATATTGTGTTGTACAGTGGACATCATGTTCATGGTGGACATAGCCATCAACTTCAGGACGACATACGTCAACCAACAGGACGAGGTTGTGTCAGACCCTCTGAAGATCGCTCTGCACTACCTCAGAGGCTGGTTCATCATAGACATGGTGGCGGCCATTCCCTTTGATCTGTTCTTCGTCGCTGATAACGAAAAGGTAGGGTTTTCCTCTCACAAATTTGTTTTGTGTACAAGATTCCATCTCATTTTCCTCCTGATGGGATAGAGCAAATTTGAATTTCTCTATTTGGTTCTATTTAATTTTTCGTGTAACCTTCAATTACTGTGACATGTCGCATCTTGTAAACCAACTTAGGATTATTATTTTTTCTCGCCTCTGCTAGTATTAAACATTTGATTTGATTTGACTTCCCTAGCATCAATGATGTTAGTTAAGTGAATTATTTACTGGAGAATAGTCAGTACGCAGTGTATTTTTGCACATTCGGCTGCTACGTCATCAAAAAAAATTTTTTTATGGTGCAAGTATTCGTTCTGAATGGAATGTACCAGAGCTACGTCACGTCTCTGCTCAGGCTGTAAAAAAGTGTTGCTTATTCCACAATTTGACTCATTTCTTTATCTGAGTGCCGAGGATACTTTGACTCCTAGTAATGACTTATCTCAGCGAGTAACAGAGGTCCCCGAACTATTTCAAGCGTATATTGAACATCTGTTTGAGGTATTCAGTAACTGCATAATGAATTATAGCTGATGAAGAACAATTCAAGATAACGCTTGAGTCAACGTTTCCCTATGTCCGTACAAATAAATTCAGAATGTATTTCGTATTCCAGTAAAGAATTTAATAGGGGGGACTAAAGAGTGTCATAAACTGGGGCTTGCTCCGCATGGAGGAGATTTATAAAATAAACTGAATTTCAGGACGGTTAAGAAAATAATATTCATGCCCGTTGAGATTATTAAAAAACCTTGTAAATCTGCACCTATAATTCAAGTTCATTTTCGCAGCAAGTCTTGTCGCCATTAAAATATCGATAAACGCATCGATTAAAAACATGGATTAAAATATAGATATCATTTAGTTTTTGCACATCATTTGCACTGTAATATTGAACCAAAACTCGCTCCTTCTTGGCAGTGGTTCAAGTTGGCACGGAACAATATAACTTTAAAGCAGAAGTGCACTTACGTACGCTTTGAATTCCTTCCGCGCAAATGGCAAACTAATTTCAGATGAATTCGAGCTGCAATATTGGCTATAATTGAAACGATTTCTCTCCATACATTATCTCAGCGCCTGCTGAAGACGGATTGGCGATTGTGCAATTTGGTGTGCCTAACTCGTCCCTTTTGTTGCGACTCGTCTGAATTTTTTTTTACCATTCCAGGAATTCCTGAGATTTACTGCATGCTTCGTTATTTTCCTTGCTATTGAGTTGACGATCAACATAATTTGTGCAAACCAAATTTTTCTTCGTGTCCATATTATATTTTCGGTATTTAATGGACCTTGTAGGTTCGTTAAATGGTACGCGACTTTGAATTTTGCCAAGCAAAAATGTATTCCAAATAGATTTTTTCTTGTTCAATTTTTTCATAATCACAAAACTTTGATTTTTTCCTAATGATTTTAGAAAAAAAATCTAAAAACAGTCCAATCGAATTTCATACCACTTTCGTCAATAGAATGCCTCCAGTATCAATAAAATATTCACCTTTAATGATAATAATTGTGATATCTATTTCCGTACTATTACTAGAAATCTATTTCCAGTAATAGTACGCTTTAGATATTTTTGCTTATCTTTGAACCATATTCCACGTATACTCTTAGTGGCAAACGTTTTAATAAGACTTGTACACTCGTTAGGTTCTTGGTGTTCTCACGCCTGAATTTCGAATCTTGCCATGCTACAATTGCGTGATATTTTAATCAAATGATGAACTTCATAGATTGAGCAACATAAAAAATATTCAGGTTTTAGGTTCTCGGGGAAATCTACTAAGAAGATTATTTTCCTTGAAGTTTTTTGAAAAATTAGATTTTGTTGATTAATTAAATTGAGTTTGAATCCTTTTTTCAATTCCAAATGTCGATAGCATCAGGCAGACTCCGCTTGAGATTTTGTTTGAGGTTTGATTTTCTTTATGTCATCCCTTATAACTTTGGATTGTGCTACCTGATGTGCAATAATATTTTGTTGTGGTGAAGGAAAATTTCCATATGATGAACCTGCACATGTTTCTGATATTGAATAACTTGTTTTCATTATTCCCCTCTCCCCACTGATTATAATATTTAATGAAAGACCAACGCTAACATCCTGTGAAATTATCCAATCGAAACTTCTGCAAATATTATTATTGAATATACTAACATTTTATAGCATGTGTACTATTTATTTTACAAAGGTAAAAACCCTTGCACTGGCAAGCGAGTCGGTACTCTGAGCACCTACAAGCTAAATCCAATACATTTTTCTCATTGACTGCACACAAATGTGTTGGTTCTGTTGTTAATGCACATAGAAGATTACCCTGGTACACATTTGTTCTAAAAACACTCGATCTGAAAATAGATGGCTCGATATGTTCGTGTGCAGCAGCTCGAAATACGTGGTATTGCCTTATTTTTAAGAGTAGATTTGTCTCTTATTTTCAATTTATCGTAATTTAGCATGGAAGCTTGTGAGCTATCCTCCGCTGTATTCGGTGTTGACGCTTTACCATTAATTATTTATCGATTAAACTTATTACACAGTATTCATTCATGGCTGAGCACTCTGTAATTTCTGTCCTTGCTAAGCCGTATTGTTTCCTTTTCTTCTGTTCCAGAAGCCCGGGGAGGTAAGATGCCAGGGAAGAACTTGAGAATGGCCGCTCTAGAGCTTCTTCATAGTTGCTACAGCCTTTCCTTTCGGCAAATGACGTTGAAACAACGTTGATAACGAGTCATTTTCTTTGAAAAAACGTTGAGTCAACGTTATTTCAATGTAGGATGCTTTGTGGGCTGTTAGGTCCAGGTCTTCTAAGGTGCAGACTTGGGTGCAGACTCGCTTCAATAAGCAATAATATTGTCAGTCAAATAGCACTGAATGGTTATTTTAATCAATGTTGTCTGGTAATTATTCTCATAGCTATTGATGATTTTTTTAATGAAGTCAGATTTCAATTAAGGTTGTCATGTCGACATGAAGACGTAAGATGTTGCACCCAGGATGCGACCCCTGACGGCTATGGCTTTGCTCTACGATGTCTGTGTCTCTTCCTTTACTTTATTACTCCTGTTATAATTGTTGGTGCTGTTTAGATCATGTCTCCTGTAGACTCTTTTATTGTCTATGCGCTTTTATTGATGAATATATATAGCCGTCTGGAACTGCTGCAGCTTCCCAACGCCCATCGCATTCGATCGTCTCTTAAAAATCGAAAAAAAAATTTGCGTCGTAGTGTAGAGATTGAGGATACGCTAAAAATTAATGCGTTTTTTTTTCTACGAAATCGGAAAAGTAACTTTACTTCAAAAGACTTTTGTGCTGAGGGCGTCAGGATTCTGCACGTAGATGTCATATGCTACTTTATAGGAAAGAATGCTGTTTTTTCCCGCTTGGTTGTTCATAGTTGCCAATTATTCCAAACGCAGCGCAAGTACTTAATCTCGTGACGATCGTTGTTCGCTGATTAATTATGTTTTTTTTTTTCAATTATTCAGTTGGATTTGCTTTAATTGGTGTTATTTGTCATGAACGATTGTTTTTAATGACATACAATGATTTTGCATGGCTATACGTGTTAGTTGATTAGATTTGCGAACGAAAACAGTCCCGTGTTCTTTGTTTGAAGCGTTTGCAATTGATGGAATGACTTGATAAAACGTATGAAGGGGTTAATGATAGAGGCAAGTAAAGCTCATCAATGAGTCTGTCATTATAATGTCGTTTCGAACTCTGTTTTGAACGCGGATTCCTTTTACATCACAACATATCTATTGTTTCTCTATGTCATCCTTGACGTTATTATATTCACTACAATATTTTCACAGTTTAACTGTGTCCAAACCTATTGTTGTATTTTTTATTGTTCGTTCTCTCCGTTTGAATACATTTGTTCTATCATCTAATCCATCCTCTTTAATCCGTCTCTTTCTACCTTTGCCTCATGCACTCTCGGACATTCATTGAGCTACATTAATGGTGTTCAATTTTGCATTTTGGTATCAAGCTCATTTCTTTCGTATTTCTACCATTTCGTTACATACAAGTTCTTAACTTTTTCTAAGAACATTAATATCGTACATCCTTGATTTCAGAATTGTCTCAAATGAAACACTCGACAATTTAATTTTAGGAGGATTGTCTGAAGAAGTAATTTTATATAAAGACCTGATAAAGCTTCCCAACTGTTCTCTTGATAAGAGAGATCAGTTGAGAGAACAGTCGTTCTCTCAACCAAATAAAGCTTCTCAATGTTGTTAATCTAAAATGTCATTTATTAATATCTGAATGCAATTATATTGTGTTTAAGGGGGGTGTACACTTTTTGAAAGAGAATTGATCCTGGAAAGAATCCGAAATAGAAATTTGCAGTAAATTTTATGCTGGATCCAAGATGTTAGGGTAAAATTTCGAAATTAACCGGAAGCTGATCGCTTAGAAAGTAGAATGTTGTGCGTTAAAATTTCTTGCTGCACTCGAGCCATTATCGTTGAGTTTTTTCTCCGGATTTTTATATATCGTTAAAAATTATACACGTATACGCAACAAGGTCTGTGACTATTGCATTGCGGGATACCTCGTTGCGGCAGAGCTTTTTCAATTGATAATTAAGTTCCTTTAACGAATTCAAACGTAAAAAAAGAATCGACTCAGATTCGTTTCTTTTCAGGAGTAAAATTAAATCAGATAGCTTTACTGTCGATGAAATATAACTACGTTCCAACCTTGGCTGTCTATGTCAAAGAATTTTTAACAAAATGCGTTGAAATTTCCCTCTCGTTTCTTCGACTTGATTTCACTCAGCGCCAAGTTAACACTTTCCCTAGACCGAGCCTTCATCTACACTTGTTATGATATTATCTCGAAATAATTTGCCTGCTATTCAAAATATGACGGAAGTTATGAAAGCAAAAGAGATGCTTCATGCTGACGATTATGTGTGCTCTATGAGTTTATTATCTGAAAGGAATATCAAATAGTTTTTCAATGTTATCTGATGAAAATTAGCATGCATGCTAAGCCATTGACCGAGTAAAAAAGTGCATCAATAAGCTGTGGGCAGATGTGTTCAGCACTTAATTTTTTTCAAATCTTTTCAAGTAAAGATATTTTTTCCTTTTTTAGTTGGCGGAGCCTTGAAGACATGACGGAGCAGGTCTTAGTTGCACCAATGTTGAAGTATTGAATGATTTATCAAAAATTTATTGTATACCCAAACTCATCCTCTCCAGCTCGTGCCTGAAAGTTTGGATAAATATTTTATTTCAGTGCTGTTTTTTACTTCCCTTTTCAGTTTGGTTGGTGCTAAACCAGTTTGCAGACGTGTAATTCTTTTATTCGTGTANTCTTAGTACGCTGCTAATAACTGTGTTCAATGGGTATTACTTGTGTGAGTTGTTCACTAGCCTTTATGTACGTCCAGACAACCTATTTCGTGTATATAAATGGTGCATTTATTTGCTACATTTGTTCATGTGCGTAAGCATAATCCGTGTCTTTTGTGGGTGTTCAGTGTGTCAAATTTCTTACAGAATGTCTTTCTTCTCTTAACGCTTTCATCTTTTGACTGCGTGCAAACGTGACAAATTGACCGATTCCTTGACGATTTCCTCAAGAACGTTATTGGATTTCTGCTCCTGCCGTCATAGTAGTTATAATCCACTAGACGAGTGAAGGTCAATGAAAATACTCTAATGAGTTGTAATGTCAAGCTATCGACTTAACTTTGGCTTTTCAGTACGTTTTAGCCAAAGAATTGCTCATTTTTCAATGCGCCTTGTTGATTTAGTTCTGTATTCTTCTTCGCACTAGAAGAGCGATCCTGTACCCTGATGGGATGCCTTTGATACTTCCTTGATAATCTCGAGCTTCGTCATCTTTCTTACGTTTCTGTTCAGTTGTATGTAGATAGTTATTCAAAAATTTTCTTCACGAAAAATAATCTTGAGCCTTTCTCATTCAGATAATCAAGAATCGTTGAAACATTACCATTGCTTTATTCAAAACTGAACCTAAAGTGTTTATACATTTTTCAAAGTTAGTTGATTGAACACTGGCGTGTGACCGATGACCAGACTGGAACGTTACGAATTTGTTACTCATTGACGCAATATTTTAACTCGATAAGTTAGCCACAACGCCGGGATGAAACTTTGTGAATTCGCTGCGTTGGCTCCTACACGGGCCGAAAAATTGGCCCCGTCATATACGCGTGTGCGTTAAATCTTCTTTATAAAATGATGTGTTCTAATTTAGTCTGTTTTTCACAGCCAACTCCAAAAGTTGAGATGCTAAATGAGGTAACTCAATTGTTTTCTCCTGAGAGTTCCTGGAACACTTTGATCCTGTTTTATATTTACCACGAATTTTTACCAATCTTGCTTTTCGAATTAGCTCTACCGGCACTTTTTAGTCCATTAACAGACTCACAGGCTACCAATTCGAAACTCAATCGATTTTCCAACACTATTCCTTTTAAGAAGCTTAGCTTTTCTTTTCAATATTATACGCAGTGCTTATTTTTTCACTCGACACATCACACGCATTACCACTAATATCAAATCTCTGAAATCTCACCCTCTATGGCTACAGATTTTTTTTCGTATCCACGTGGCTGTGCAAAAAATCTCGGAATTTTTTTTCATCAAAGGAGTTTATGAGAATTGAAATAAGATTGGTTATTAGCTCGCACTGAAGCACCTGTCAATTGACGTTTGAACAAATTGAACTTGATGAATCACATTCAGATAATGCATTGTGCACTTATGGTGAATGTGTTGTGTTCGACAATGTGCTCACTTGTTTCTCGATTCCAGAACACTCTTGAGCTCTGAACACTTGCTATATTATCATGCTTGAATTATACACGGTTCAGTCTGAGGAAACGAAAATTTATATTGAGACACATCAAATTTAGAGTTTTGCCGACCTTAAGAAGATTAAATGTTATTTTTTATATTTGAGCAGGTGAGCATAAAAAACTTGTGTCGCGCATTACAAGTCCACATACTGTAAAAAATTAAGGTGCGTAGTCTCAAGTCAATATCGTCAAAATAATAACTGAGGATACGTGTAGTTAATTATTGTATTATTATTATTATTTTAAATTAAGGTGTTTACCAGGGCACTTCAGGAAATTATTTTCTACTTTTTTCACATCTGATTCGCTTAAAAAGCAACCCCTACCGCCAAATAGATCGGTTCCTCATTTTCTATTTTAAGAAAATTTCAAAAGTCGTTGATAATTTTCCATCACTTGTATTGATATGCGCAGTGTATGATATTTTAATTATTATAGATTCAAAAATTAGTGTTCAACAAGAAATCCGAACCCGAATTGATTGTTCGAGGTTAAAATTCCTTCCTATGCGAACATCACGCTCATTGTCATTTGATTTTATATTAGTGAGGATAGACATTACAGCTTTTCTTTTGTTTCCTGCATTGACTTTAATCGAGGATGTTGCAGTAAAGTCTGCGCCTTAGACGTGGCTAGAAGTCGAATCGTTCGTGCGACTTGTTTCTTGACGCGCCGACATCTCGTGTGACTTTTGTGCCGAGTCATTAATTGTTCTCTGCCTTTAGACGCTTGTCTTGTCAACTGCTTTTTTACTCTGCTTTAGTTGCCATGGCTTCTAAGTTAGTCCTGCTGTCAACTGCTTTTTTACTCCGCTTTAGTTGCCATGCTTCTAAGTTAGTCCTGCTGTCAACGGCTTTTGTCTATATGCTTCTAAGTTAGTCCTGTTGTCAACTGCTTTATTACTCCGCTTTAGTTGCCATGCTTCTAAGTTAGTCCTGCTGTCAACTGCTCTATTGTTCCTTAAGTATCCCTGACACTAAGTTTACGTGCACTTTGCAACCTCCGGCCCTACGCTTTCACTCTAAGTTAGGCTCCCAGCGAAGCTGTTTTTGGGCAATTTCCGAATTATTTTTGTTTTATGCAGGAATGGACAGAATATATATCATTCCTATAATTAGTCGAACGTTAAGATGTATTTTTTACTTACTCCTCTCGTAAATCATTTGCTGGCTTCTCCATTCTGACCATTTAATTGTAATATTTAGAAAGTCTTGGTAGTTTTCAGTCTCGGTATAGGAATTTGAAAAAAGCGGCTCGATTAATCCAAATTGGAGGCCCATCTTGAAATTGCTTTTGTGTGTTTACTTCAAACGTTTTGCATTCCTAATTTTTCCGGTGAATAAATAATATGTCGCTTAAATTTTTCCCAAATTTTTGCGAAACGGTGGTAAATTTTACTATGTTACAATATGGACTACTTCTTTTCATATATTCATTCAAGTATATACTCTCTATATACAGTATTTTACCTTTATGCCATAGACATCATATGGGTATAAAACCACTGTCGATTATTAAGCGTAATTTTTAAAGTAAGCTTCATGCTATCCTTTGCCAATGCTCCAAGTTGTTCTATTGTAATCTATTTTTATCATAGTTAAATGTTTCACCTTTTGCATCAAATTGCTTGTAGTTTCGTGCTTGGCTAGTGGATGAAATAACTGATACTTCTATAATTAGCGCTCCTTATATAGTCGTCTTACGGGCGTGTTTCAAGTCAAATTTTTACGTGACTTCGTTATCTTCAACTAGTCTCGATATTTTGATTTACCCAAACCAATTGTGTTTGAGATTTCCTTCTTTTGTAATAAAATATTTTCATTATTTTACCATGACGGATCATTCATACGAATTCAAGATAGTTCGGTAATTACCCTCTCACAATTATTACCGAGATAGTATGGTAATTCCCACTTAACATTATAAATATAGGCGCCTCAATTGTGGTCCGTCTGGTCACGTCTGTCTCTGTTTACCCTTTCCTCCAATGATCCCTGCTCTTGACTTATGAACAAAATCGAATTAACTTTACAGCATTTTGAGGCGAAAAAAAAATCTAACTCAAGTTTGAATTCAAGTCCGCAAATGTCATTTTACTGTATTATAATGGTAATTGTTTTGGTAGTTCCTGCAAATTGGTCAATTTTGTTCATTTCATCTGAAAAGCGGGTTACGTTTTATACGCGTTACTAGTTAATACACTGTTAGAAAAAACGGCGAAAAAACGGTCCCACTGGCATTCTAGTGGCCTGTCGCCTCGTGGAAGTAAACTGTTTCGCAGTTTTTATCAGATGTTTTACGGATTTCTAGTGTTAAATTAGAATAAAAACGGCGATACGGTGTTTCTTTTCACGTGCCGACCGGCCACTGAAACGCCGGTAATACCGTTAACGGTAATTTTTCTAACAGTGTAGTACTTCACATTTGACGGGCAGTTTCTGATGTGTGCATGGCCCTTGTGACTTGTTTGCATCGCTACACATACGCTGTAACTTTGTTTTTTATTTACCTGCTTCCCTTTTACGAGGGTCGTATGATTTTTTGGCATATTGTTTCTTAGTACCTTGGTCAATAGTTCTCCATCACAACGCACAGTTGCATTTAGAATTGCAATTTGGGAAATTTCCTCCACCTTTCTTGACATGGGTATTCAAATATCTAAATTCCTTTGCATTTTCTGTAAAAACGCGCTAAGTTATTGAAGTTAATATGAACCAAAGACTCGTGCATTGTAATATTACTAAATTGCGTATTCGATTTGCACAACTTCACTTCACCACCAAAATGTCTGCAGAATTACCCGTCGCATCACTGACACTTGTTTAGCTCAGCTGAATATCAAAGTATTAATCAATGTGTTTTTTTCTCAACTGACGTTGAAAAATGATGTGGATGGTAGCTCCCATAGTGCACTAAAGGTAGCCTTCACTTGGGAGAACTTGGTTGATACATTAATTTTCTTGAACTTTCTTCACATTTGTTCATGGAAAATAGGTTGTTAAAGATTGAACCTGTAAGAAATGAAGAAAAGCAAAGCGCCGTAGATTTACGACTTAACTTCGTCATAATTTTCTTTGGTGATTGCTCTCTTTAGCTTAGGTGAGTGCATCATTCAGAGTTTGAATTATTTCCAAAAAAGGTAAGTCTGAATTAAAAGTTGTGCTCATCTTTTCTCGACTTTGAATTTTTCTTTTAATGCCAAGAATGCTTAGTACTAATTGAAAACCAAATCTTTCTTTGCAAAAGAACATTCGATACTGTTGCCCTATACTTATAATTAGTGTTACCTGAAAGGTGGAAGACTAAAATTGTTGTCAGCTAATGCTTTTGTATCGTCGAATATTTTTCCTAATTCCTGAACTGTTTACTCGATTAATTTTTCTGACAACTATTACTTGGAATCATTTAACATTTTCAAAGTTTTTGATTCTGCTCAGTGTAGACGATAGTTATTTATTCATTATTGAAGATTTAATCATAGTCACCAAATTTTTCCTCATCTGTCGAACGGATCTTGTGAAAGTTATCAGAAGTTTCGTAACAAACTTACAAAGTTTTCATCCCAAGCAAAAATTGAGCGGTCAAAACGTTCTTCATATTCTTTCCCATTACTAGCGAATTCAACTTTCCAGTTACAAATTTTTAAACCTAAGTTCGTGTTTCGTGAATTTTTTTTTTCACGGCCAAAAGCCCTTTTGACCGACTTTTTTTTCATTGTTTGCTGTACGTCTTCAGTTCGTAACTTTCGAGAGTACATTTAAACTTCTCTACTTTAACTTCGTTTCAGTGGATTTCTTCCTTTTTCTTCGCTATTAGTTCGGCCGTATCGGTGTTACTAACATTTTCTTTTTGGTTACTTTCAGGCCGACGCTGGAGAAGAAGACAAGGTAACCAAATTTTCTCGTTTCTGTCCTTAATTTGCCTTTCAAATCACACGGTAAATATGTTTGATTCTCACGGATTTTAGATAGAACTGATGAATGCCGCCCTCCTTATAGACCAAACCGATCGCATGCCGGTGTGGCTGCTCCAGCCACCCAACTTTAGAATTCCAACCTTCTAATACATGCCGGTGTGTAAAATGTATACTCGGGTCCTAAAAAAGCCATCAAATTTCAATTTGAATCAACATGGTGAGTTGCAATCTGGAATGCATGAATCTTTCCTCGCTAAAGCATCTTTTGAATTTTCTCCTTTCGTTTTCGAATGTCCGTTTTACGTATTCGAAGCTCGATCAATTATTCTCCTTTATAATCTTATGTATACATGCGTTTTCCGTATAATGAAGCGCAAGCCTCTGACAATCGTTCTTCTCCAACAACGCACGTTCCTTCTTCGCATTCTTGGTCTACCAAATTTTTGTATGCACGTAGTCTTGTCCTCTAGTCTAGCTTATAATGCTACTTAGATTGGTGTTTCAAGTTTGACAGCCATATTCTTTATGACTTTACCTGCTATTATTATTCAATGGCATAATAATTCTCACTGAGGCTTGTTGTGCCTGCATCTTTGTTTGTTGTAAGTCATCTCACAACCATTTTAATGTCATCAATTAAGTGCCAGCCGTACGTCATCTCAGCCATTCTCTTCACATCAAGTGTCAGTTATAAGTCATCTCATAGCCATTATTTTGCTATCTACCAATGCTCAAGGGATATTTTCATTGAAATGCCTAGTTAATTTTCGTAAGCAAGTTGGTTGATCACTAAACTTCAGTATCTTTCATGTGTCGATTAACTTTACATGTGAAAATTTTTTTTACTGCAGCAAGAGTCGAATCATTTAAAGCGATTTATATCAAGATGTCGATAGCTAATTCCTCATTTTTTTTTAAATAGACGCGAACAATTCTTTCAGAAAATACCTGCGTTTTAATTTGTCCATAGAAGTGAATATCAATTTTTTAGTAATAGTTGCAACATTCATTAAACCTATTTTTTGGTCGCAATTAAGTGCGAATTCGTCCAGCGTTATGTTGTCACTTATCTCGTATGCATGTGAAAGCCATGTAAATATAAGGATATATATTGGCACGTTCCGTAGCTTCAGTTGAAGTTTGTTGTTCTTGATCCTCTGTCCTAACATGATGATACATAACAATGATATACTAAGTTACGCTGTTATCTTGTTCCAAATTTCCAACCCATTTTGCATGTGATTTCGCTATGTTCCTATGTACGTTTTCGTGCGCAGAATATATAAATAATACTTCGGGCGTTTATGGGGGGTAAATGTCGAACGTTCTATCATACAATTGCCTAAATTAGGTTTAATTTAGTGGCAGTATCGTCTTTGTGATTTATTGTTGAATCATTCCAAATTTGACTTTAAACATTTTTTGTTAGATTTTCTTACAGCCAGTAAAATAGAATTGTTTTTTAGCTCATTCCTGACATCGCAAATATTTTTGTTCAATTAATCCCATCGTATCGTTCATCGTAGAGCGTTTTGATGTCTCTCTTCTTATTTTCTCTCATGCTGATTTAATTATTTTTGTCAACTTTTATCAGAATAATCCATAGGTTTACGCTCATTATATTAAGCGATAATTGCACAATATAGTGATTAGATTGCACGTAAACATGATTGTATTATTAAATAAATTTCAAATTTACTTATTGGTATCAAATTCTCAAGCTTTATGTATTTTGATTTAGTTTCAATATAGTTTGAAGTAAGTAAATTTATTCCTTAAGTTTGATTTCCGCCAAACGATACAACACAAGCAAAGTATTTATTTTTGTCTATACGTGACCGTTTGTTTTACCTCTGCTCAATTTTTTTCCTACAAACGGTATATAACGGCTTTAATTCAAGACACTTAGTGCATTCTCTTCCTGCCTTCAAATCGAGCTTTGATATTCTTCAGCATTGAACATTTGGTCTGAATTCTTTAACGTAATTATGTTGAGACAGATATTCCGAATACGGGGCCGCGGTGCTGCTGCTGCTCATGGCCACTTTTGCCTTGATAGCGCACTGGCTCGCCTGCATTTGGTGAGACCTACAGGGTGTTGATGGTGTATGGCTAGCCTGGTTACCTTGTGGTGCCTTCAGGGTGTTGATGTATGGGCTCGCCTGTTTACCTTGTGGTGCCTTGAGGTTATTGATGGTATATTGGCTCGCCTGCATTTGGTGGTGCCTTCAGGTTGTTGATAGTGTAAGGCTCGCCTGGTTACCTTGTGGTGCCTACAAGATGTTGGTAGTGTGTGGATCGCCTATTAATTTTGTGCCTGCAGGTAATGATGGTATACTGGCTCGCCTGGTTACCTTGTTATGCCTGCAGGTTGTTGATGGTATATTGGCTCGCCTGTTTATTTTGTTGTGCTTTGAGGTTATTGGTGGTATATTGACTCGCCTGCATTTGGTGGTGCCTTCAGGGTGTTGATGGTGTATGGATCGCCTGTTTGCCTTGTTGTGCCTGCAGGTCGTTTACCTGACAAAAACTATTGCGTCGAAGTTTGTTACAATAGGGTTTTGACTGCCCTATTAGTTTTCCTGTTATTTTTTAACATGAAGTTAGCTTTTACTGACATAAGTTGTGAATCACAAAATTTTAATGATATACATTCTATTTGAGAACTGTACTTTCAGTTTTGATTCGGTTTGCTTTCTTTTGATATTCAAGCAGTTAATATGAATCGAAACGGTAATTATTGCGGCTGAATAAAGTTTGATCTCACCAGGTATGCCATCGGTTCTGCTGAGCGACCTGGTCTAGTTGTTCGCTGATTAATTATGTTTTTTTTTTTCAATTATTCAGTTGGATTTGCTTTAATTGGTGTTATTTGTCATGAACGATTGTTTTTAATGACGTTCAATGGTTTTGCATGGCTATACATGTTAGTTTATTAGATTTTCGAACGATAAAAGTCCTATGTTTTTTGTCATTAAGTTCGCTTGAAGCCTTTCCAATTGATTGAATGAATTGATAAAACTAGGAAGGGGTTAATGATCAAGGCAAGTAAGGCTCGTCAATGAGTCTGTCATTACAATGTCGTTTCTAACTCTATATTGAACGCGGATTCCTTTTAAATCACAACATATCTCTTGTCTCTCAAGGTCATTTTTGACATCATTATTCACTTTAATATTTTCAACTGTTTAACTCTGTCCATTATTCTATTTTTCTAACCCATAAATCTATTTTTTATCGTTCGTTTTCTTAGTTTGAATCCAGTTTTTTTCTATCATCCAGTCCATTCTCTTTAATCCGTCCCCTCCTACCTTTGTCTCGTGCCACTGTCGTACCTTTATTGAGCTTCATTAATAGTGTTCAATTTTGCATTCACGTTTCAAGCTCATTTCTTTCATATCATCATTTTGCTAAATACAAAGTTCTTAATTTCTTCTATCAACTTTAATATCGTACATTCTTGATTTCAGAATTGTCTCTAATAAAGCGGATAACTCGACAGTTTAATTTTAGAAGGATTACCTGAAGAACTAATGTTAACTTAAGACCGATAACGCTTCTCAATGTTGTTAAGCAATGACATTTATTGATATCTGAAAGGAATTACATTGTACGCGTAATTGAAAAATAATTGATCTTGGAAAGAATCCGAAATTAAAATTTGCTGTATATTTTTTGCTTGCTCCAAGTTGAAAGAGTAAAATTTCGAAATTAACTGGAAGCTGATCGCTTAATAATATACGTTAAAAATTACTTTTTAAAGACAACACTTCCAAAGAATCCAGCGTCTCCAATCTTACAGATGTACAATGAATTTCTCATTTAATTTTTGAATATTAAAAAAATTAATTTTTCAGTTTTTAAATATATACATTTTTTTAATATATAATTTTTTTTTCAAAATTATTCTATTAATTTATTCATGCATTACTTCTGACTTCGCACAAGTGTGCAAAATTTCAGATCAATTAGACAGGTGTAAGTGTGTCAAATATCAGTCATAAGATTTGTTGCTGACAAAAATTATTTTTCCAATTTTTTTTATAATTGAAAAAAAAAATTTTTAATTTTTAAAATTATTCATTTTGACATTTGATTCATGCATTGTCTCCAACTTTACACCAGTGTGCAAAATTTCAGATCGATAGGATAAGTAGAAGTGTGTTAAATTTTGATTACAAGATTTGTAGCAGACAGACAGACAGACAGACAGACAGACAGACAAACAAACAAACAAGAAGTGAAGTTAAAGAGAAGTGTTGTAATAAGATTTAGCTTTTCATATATTAATGATAGTTGCTCATACAAATTGAACAGATATCAATGAGCTGAAAATTTCAAGTAAATTTTTCTCAAACTAGACGCTGGGTACGATATATTTACCTGTTCATATGAGACTCATAATTTTTTCTCTCTTTCTCTTGTCTGAAGTTTCTTTTGTAACGTTTCCAATGGAAATTTTATTGTAATAATAATGATAATAGACGTACTTACGAATCAGTTCAATTTCTATACAAGATTTGTAGCAGACAGACAGACAGCTAGACAGACAAGAAGTGAAGTTAAAGAGAAGTGTTGTAAAAAGTAGAATTTTTTGCATTCAAATTTCTTGCTGCACTCGGGTCATTAGAACGGATTTTTTCTATGTATTTTTCCATATCGTTTAAATTTATGCACGTACGCAACAGGGTCTGTGACAATTGCATTGTGGAAACCTCGAAGCGGCAAAGCTTTTTCAATTGATAATTGAATTCCTATAATGAACTAAAACTTATTTAGAAAAATATCCCAACATTCGTTTCTTTTCAGGTCTAAAATCAATCCAGAGAGCTTTCATTTTGATGAAATATGACTACGTTCCAACCTTGGATGTCTATGTCCAAGAATTTTTCAAATGTGTTGAAATTTTCCCTCTCGTTTATTCTACTTGATATCACTAAGCGCCAAGTTAACACTTTTCCTAGTCCGAGACTCCATCTACACTTGTTATGATATTATCTCGAGATAATTTACCTGATATTAAAAATATGACGGAAGCTATAGAAGTAAAAATAATTTTCTTCCTCTTGCCGCATGGGCTGGCGATTATGTGTGCTCTATAAATATATTATCTAAAGGTAATATCAAACAGTTTTTCGATGTTATCTGATGAAACTTAACATGCTAAGCCGTTGACTGAGTAGAAAGTGCATCAATAAGCTGTGGGCAGATGTGTTCAGCACTTCATTTTTTATACGTTCTTGTTGAGCGTTCGGTAATTATCACCTCTACTTAATCACGCAAGGCCGGGTTCACACCAAACTACCGGGCACGTGCCTGGATATGCCAATCACTGTCTATAATCTAATATTATTAAATACATTTTCATAGAAGCATCCACACCATGGCTATGGCAGATGCCTTTATTGCACGGCTGGTGTGAATGCTTGTATAGAAATGCATGAAAGAATATTGGACCGTGACGGGCACCTGTCCTTGCAGTTAGTGTGAACCCGGCCTAATAGGAGTTAAGCTTGGAAACATCCAGCCACCCGACGCCTGCCGGCGTATATATAGAGACCCTTAATGAACTCTGGAATTTATTTTTATGTTGATTCGCTCATTTCTCACGGCCGTAAGTTTATTCAATATCTATTCAAGTACAGATATTTTTTCTTTCTTTAGTGGGCGGAGCCATGAAGACATGACGGAGCGCTCTTATTTGCACCAATGTTGAAGTATTAAATAATTTATCAGAAATTTATTGTTTACCCAAACTCATCCTCTCCAGCTCGTGCCTGAAAGTTTGGATAAATTAATTATTTATTTACACAAATGTTTTATTACAGTGCTGTTTTTTACTTCCCTTTTTAGCTTGGTTGATTCTAAACCAGTTTGCAGACGTGTAATTCTGTTATTCTTGAAACCCTTTCTTATTCCTTGTTCTTAGTACGCTGCTAATAACTGTGTTCAATGGGTA